TGCTGTACATGGAAGTTTAAATTTAGACACCTAGGGAATACTGCAGCTCAAAATGAAGATGTCAAATGAATTTAGGCCATATGGGTTCACTTTCTGTAATTTAAGCAGCAGTTCTGTTTAGGTGTACTTACTTTCCCAATCTTGAGCGGGCCCTTAACCTCTTTGTGGCTCAATTTCCCTCCTGCAGAATTCAGATAATAGTACATCCCTACAGCATGAAGGACTATAATGCACCCAGACTAGAGAAAGAGAATCAGAAAAGTGCAGGCTCATGGGCGATCTGATGGCCACCTATATGTTTATCAGGGGTGTTCACCAGGATCTGGGGGAACGATTGTTCACCAGAACACCCCAAGGGATGACAAGGTCTAATAAACTGCAAGACCATTTCAGGCTGGACATAATGAAGAATTTCTTCACTGTCCACACCCCCAAGGTCTGGAATAGCCTGCTACCGGAGGTGGTTCAAGCACCTACATTGAATGCCTTCAAGAGAAATTTCGATGCTTATCTTGCTGGGATCCTATGACCCCAGGTGACGTCCTGCCGCTCAGGCAGGGGGCTGGACTCAATCTTTTGAGGTCCCTTCCAGCCCTAATGTCTATGAAATCTATGAAACTTTTAAATAGTTTTTGTCTAGTGATTTTTGTCCTGTCTAATTTAACACCCACTCTCTTTCTCTGGCCTGAAAGGCTTCAGGGGTCTATAACTGCCTTAACTACAGCCTTCCAACTCCTCCTATCTTGTGCAATTTCCTTCCACTTTATTGCATCTTTGCCTATTCTTTCCACATTAGTTTTTATGTTGTCTACCCATCATTGCTTTGGTCTACCTCAGCTTCCAAAATCTACCTCACACTCCTTCTCTCATTGTTTTTTGTGATATGCCTTGCCCATTTCATTTTCTGTGCTCTGATCTTGCTTCAGTCATTTTGTAAGCTCTTGATTATGTCTTCTCCTCCATTCTCCATTTTCTTGCACTGCACCAAATATTTTCCTTAGTACTTTTTTTTCAAACACTTGCAGCCTTTTTCCATTTGCCTTTGTCAGAGTCCAGGATTCACATCCATATAAAAGGACAGGTTGAACAACTGTATCATTGTGGCAGGCCACCTTTGGTGCCTGCCACTTTAGGAGCAGCAAACACACAGCAGCCAGGTACCTGATAAGGCCAGCCATTTTGGCCCAAGGATATAAGATGGCTGCAGTTTGCTGCAGGAAGGAAGGTGAAAACATTAGTCTGAGAGGCTGCTCAGGCCAGAGTCAGGAGGTAAGGGCAGGGACTATGGGAGGAGGTGACCTCTTGTCCTGGGTAAGATGTAAAACTGCACTTTACTGGGGAAGGGTGGTCTGGTGGGGCTCTTAGTGGCATGTGAGCCCCCAGGAAGTGCCAGGCCAGTTACTACCCCTGTGAAAGGTGGGTCAGGGTGCCTTAAGCCCAGCCCCACATTCCTGATGGTGTTCTGGTGAGCAGGGGGAGCCCAGGGCTTGGTTAAGGAGCCCTAAGGCAGAGCTTGGGCCAGAGGAGGGACCTGGGGCTGCACCCAGGTGGCAGAGGATAGCCTGTCGACAGTTAGAGAGACCCCAAGTGTGAGGGGTGAGTGTTAGAGAGACCCTCATTGCCTTGATTTCTTCAGTTATTTGATTGCCCTTTGTGATTATTGGGCACTTATACACATGCTGTGGGAGGTGTTGGGTAGGGGATGCTTTAACTACAGAAGCTCTGAAAGCTACTCTAATTAAAGTGCCTGGAGCATCATGTGCATCAGTGTCCCCGTGCTGAAAAATGGTGGCATGGGTGCTTTAATTAAAGCTCCTTTGACAAGCCTTAGTCAGGGTTTGAATTACACTTTGACTCTTGGGGGGAAGGGGGAGTCTGCAAAACTCCCCCAAAAACTGGTTCACTGGCAGGAGGAATCTAATTGAAGACCCCCCTCAGTTTATGATTTTCAAATCTTAAAGGGGGGCTCTTGTCTCTTATTGGGCGCTTTCCCCCCCCCCCCGGAGCTCCCCCATAATTTGCACCCTCACTTTAGTTAAAATGCCCCCACCACCATTTTTCAGGGACACTGGAGTCTGCTGGAGCATGGTTGAGTCTGCTCCAGCAGACTTAACTAATCAAGTCTGCTCTGACGCGCTGTAATTACAGCACATCAGAGCACCCTTGATTACGAGTACAGACACCCACTGTTTCTAAATGTTTCCATTTCTCTGTTTTCCACATTATCATTCCATGTTCTTATCTTCCTGTGATATTGAGATTTTTTTCTGCATGTGATCATGTATTTTTGTCTTGCTGATATTGCCAAAGAAGTTGGGCTTCCTATCATCGATGGTGTTTCTTTCTTTCTTTCTTTTTTTTTTGTACTATTTCCATTTCCTCTCTTAGGCAGATACTATCTGCATACACAAATATCTGGTGCAGTCTGTTTAACTGCAAATCTTTTCCTTCTTCAGCAGTGGGTCTTGTGATCTTGTCAAGCATCAAATGGAAAAGCATCTGTGACAGTGCATCCCCTTGTTTGAGCCCACTGCTGATTTCCATTGGATCTGATACATGAGAATTGAAGGAATGGTAACTCCTTTAGTCTTCAATACACATCTTGGCAATGCATTCCAGTCTTTTTGGGAATTCCAAACCTCACCATGACTGATTACAGTGGGTGCATCTACACATGAGTTTAAGGCATAGCAATAAACTGTGGAGCTGTTTGAGCCACAGTAAACTGCTTCTGGGCACAGTGTCTATACATGTGCCCAGGAGAGCAGCAATTTTAGCTGGGGTGGAGCAGGCCTGGGTTGGCAGGGAAGCAAGGGGTCAGCCCCAGACTCCAAGAGGCAGTGTCAGGCAGCAGGGGGGATATGGCTGGGGTATAAGGCTGCTAACCCTGCAGAGCCATGTGGCTAGGGGGCAGGCAGGAGTCTGGCCCCTGCCCAGTCACTGTCTATACATGAATTTCAGTGCAGTAAATGACCCCTCCGTAAAACTGCAGTTAATTTCACCATCGTAAAACAGTACTGCCCCCAATAGTACTATCTTATGGCAGAGTTATTTTCCTGCACCCTAATATTTGCACATGTGTAGATGGTGACACTTTACTGTAGAGTTAATTTGTCTACTGTGCACTAAAACATGTGTAGATGCACCTAGTGACTCCCTTCTAATACTATCATAAGCTTTATCAAATCTATGTACACTTAATGTACAGCTTGCACAACTTCCCATTTCTTTTCCAACAATAATCTTATTGATTAGAAGATTAAGAAGTTGATCTATCTTTCTTGAACCTACAGTGGTAATCTTCCACAATTAATGACACTTATTACTATCATTATATTAGTCTTAAGAGCCCCAGTCATAAATCCCATTTTACCAACAGCTAACCAAATAGAGAACAAAGAAATGCGCCTTTCCTCTGAGAGCTGACTTCTGCTGATTTCCTGCCCGCCAATGCAGATAAATGTAACAAGTTGGATAAAATAATGTATACAAATGATCTATTTAATACTGGGCATCAGGGTCTATGAGGAAGTCAATATTATTTACCTTCTAAAGGCACCATTATTTATCTTCTTATGCCCCTTAATGTTAAGCAAAAATTCCTATGTCATTTCAACAGGGCACGACCAAGCCCAGAGAGTACTGAGTTTATTTTTGTGAATGTCACAAGACTGTTGTTTTTTTTAAGTACTCTTACCTGTACAACTAACAGCCCAATATTGAGTGCAATTAAGAACAGTGTGTTGTTTTCAAACCACATTTTAATATACTCTTCACATCCCTAAGGAAATGGAAATGAACAGATTTTAAGTGTCGGATAATTTTTAACTATTATATTCAGTCAGAATATGTTTTACAATGTGTACCTGTTAACATGTTATGGAAAAACTTCCTGCCATGACCTGATAATTCTAACACTACAGAAGGCAGTAACTCTATTAGTGTGTTTCTAGCCTTTTAATTGTTTAGGCAGTTTAAAAAAAATGACTGAAGTTAACAGTTTTAGATTCAAACATACTGAATTTTACATTGAGGTAAAAAGGACTACACTTCTGTAGGAGCATAAATGATAGATGTTTTTTCTAGGCAGGCAAGGTTCTTTGGGTACATGTGATATCTTTATTAGACTGAGTAGTTGGAAAAATTTTTGCAAGCTTTTGAGCACAAGCATCCTTTTTCAGGCAGTGGGAGAGTGCTGTTGTTCTGAAATGTCCAAGGTGGGAAAGAAGCTAGAAGTGTGACAGGAGGTCAGTGAAAATACTGAAACACCAACGCTTCCTTTTTGGACACCATGATGAATATCTAAAATGGTAAAAGGCAAACCACCATATACAAGAAACCCACGGGCCAACATACATATCTACAAAGAAACAGCAATCACCCTAAATGCACCAAAAAAGCTGTAATTTACAGCCAAGCTCTCAGATACCACTGAATTTGCACCAAGGACAATACCTGCAATTGCTACCTCACAAAGCTCAAAAGGGCTTTCACCCAACAAGGACAATCATCTACAGAGAGAGATTGTACTTTTGAAAAAGCCACCTAGATACTATGCAAAGATTTGCTGCAGCACAAAAAAGAAAATCCCCACAAATTGCACACCATTCGTTATGACATAACATCCTTCCCTGGAACCTATACGAAAATCCTCAAACAATGGCAACCTATGCTAGAAGAAGACCCAGTTCTTAGAGTTCTTT